AAAAAAAAAAAAAAAAAGAAAGGTTTATTTCCAAATACCATGCACATGGGGGTAAACACAGAAATCATTATCCAAAGTCTCAGTGATGTTCAGTCTTTTTTAGGTGCGTTTTGGAAGAAAGGGAGGAGAATGTGGAAAGTGTAGATGCAGCAAGTGGTTGCTGGGAGGGAGTGTGTGTAGATGAGTAGAAACAGATTTATCTGTAGATTAATCTCAGAGACAAGTAACCTGCTTCAAATGACCTTGGGGCCAGATCTATTATAATGTAAAAAGGAAGTCAGTATCCCCTTCTGATTCCCAATCATGTTACTCAGGTTTTATGTAGATAGAGGAAAGGCCTCCTTTCATGCTTCCTGATCATGAATGGCCTTTAACTTGAAATATTCTTTATATTAAGCAGTTATTTTATTTTTTTTGAGGGGGGTGGGGGGTTTGACCAGGGCTGGGTTTGAAACTGCCACCTTCAGTGTATGGGGCCAGGACCCTACTCCTTAAGCCACAGGCACCTCCCACCAATGAGTCATATTTTGAGGCAATATTTCCTTAGCTCCTTCAATAGTATAACAGCTGGATATGCCATAGTTTCTCCACATGAAACCTGGGAGGCATCCTCCCTGCCTACTATAACATCAGCACAACCTGCTGAACTTAGAGTCCTCACTAGAGCTGCACATGAGCAGAAGGAAAAAACTGTCACTATTTACAGAGACTCCAAAAATGCCTTTGAAGTCTGCCACGGGTTGTCATGATTTGGAAATCTTGTGGTTTCTTTTTCTTTTTTTTTTTTTTTAAGACAGAGCCTCAGGCTGTCGCCCTGGGTAGACCGCCATGGCATCACAGCTCACAGCCATGGCAACACAGCTCACAGCTCACAGCTCACAGCCATGGCATCACAGCTCACAGCCATGGCAACACAGCTCACAGACTCAAGCAAATCTCCTTCCCTATCCTTCACTAGCCTCCCAAGTAGCTGAAACCACAGGCACCCACTACAACACCTGGCTTTTTTTTTTTTTGGTTGCAGCCGTCACTGCTGTTTGGCAGGCCCCGGGCTGGATTTGAACCCACCAGCTCAGGTGTATGTGGCTGGAGCCTTAGCTGCTTGCGCCGTAGGTGCCAAGCCAATCTTGTGGTTTTTTAATGTCAGCTGGCACCCCTATTGCCAGTAAGTCTATAATTGCTTCCCTATTACAGCCATTCACCTCCTCTCTAAGGTTACTATTATTTATTGTCCAGCCCAAACTGAAGAAACAGAAGATAGAGCAGGCAGAGCTGCAAAACATGCTGCTGAAATCGTCCCCCTTATCCTTTTTTAATTCAACTTAATACCTTCCCCTTATCCTTATCTGACATCATTGATCATCAGATTAATATTCCACAGACTGAAAAAGATAAATGGATACATAATGGTGCTAAACAGTTATCAAATGGATTATTTATTGAACCAAATGGACTTACTGTGGCCCCCTTTCCTTTAACTTTTTGGTTTGCACTTATCTCTCACCAAATGGGACCTATGTGCAAATGGGGATAATTAAGGAACTAAAAAATAGTTGGTACTGCCCTGGGATCTACAGAATCTCTGATCAAATTATCTCCCAGTATACTATTTGTAAATCTCACCAAATCCCTGGAGGAGACCAATAATCTCTAGGGAGTCCCCAAAGACCCATGTTGCCATGTGTGGCACTACAAGTTGATTTTATAGATTTACTTCCAGCTTCAGGCTTTTCTCACTGCTTAGTTATCATCTATAGAGGGTGTAGGACGGAATGTTACCCAACCAGATGTGCAGATGCTGCAACAGTAGTACAGAAATTGATATCGAAATTATCCCTTGATTTGGTATAGCCTTATGGATTGATCAGATCAAGGAACACATTTCTTCTCTTTTCTTTTTTCTTGCTTTTCTTTTTCTTCTTTATGGAGACAGAGTCTCACTTTGTCACCTTCTGTAGAGTGCTGTGGCCTCATACCTCACAGTGACCTCAAAGGCTTGGTCTCAAGCGATTCTCTTGCCTCAGCCTCCCTAGTAGCTGGGACTACAGGCACCTGCCACTACACAGGGCTATTTTGTTGGTTGGTTTAGCACTCCCTTGCTGGGTTCCAACCCAACAGCCCTGATGCAGATGGCCAGCACCCTAAGCACTGAGCTATGGACACTACCCAAGGAACTCTTTCACAGCATAAATAAACTATCTGCTTGCAAAGGCTCTGGGTACTTATTAAAATTTCATACCCCATATCATCCTCAATCCTCACGACAGGTAGAATGTAAAAACCTAGACATAAAGAGAAGTTTGGCAAAACATGTCAAGACACTGGACTTAAATACCCAGAAGCATTACCTCTGGCCCTTAGAAAAGTCCATATAGAACCCCAAATAGAATGCACGGATTAATACCCTTTGAAATACTGTTTGGTCACCCTATGTCTATTGGCACTCCTAAACCTCCTGGGCTGACTGGAAAGTATAGCCATCTGAGTGAACAATTTGATACCATGACTAGCTATATACAGGCACTGATTAATGTACTTGGAGCATATTATCAACAGGTGAAAAAAGCATGGCCTCCATCAATTGATAAGCCTTGCCATCCCTTTCGATCAGGAGATTTGTGTTTTTAGATGATCACAATTTTTAGAAGAAAACATGCACTATCACCCCTCTGGGAAGGCCCTGATGAACTACTGTCAACCACCTACAATGCCATCAAAGTAAAAGAAAAAACCCTCTTGGATTCACATCAACCACCCCGGAATACAGAGACAGTTGGAGGACGACCTCTACAGGTGACCTGAAAGTAAGGATTTCCAGGGCCAATCCCCAGGCTTCTGAAGCAGATGACTCCAGGAAGTAGACAGGTATTTCCCAAGATTGCAGATCCACAAACCTCATTTAAATCTATATTCCTTGCCTTTTAAACCCCCAATGATCACTTTTAAACAATTTTACCTTTAAGCACCCACCACTTTCAGAAATAACACAATACAGGCTGAGTCAAAGTTGCCTCAATCTATCCCATTCTCTCTTTTATCTTCCATTATGGCTCTTCTTGCAAACTATGCCTTACTCTTACTAACCCTTACTATTTGTCCATGAGATTGAGCACAGAGTCAGCCCCCCCCCCCACTTTGTACCAGTCTTTCAGACCCTGGACACACTAACTAATCAGTCTGATTGCTGGTTGTGCCAACATCATGCAAAGGACCCTGAGTTTATTTTTATTGCTGCTAATATGTGTGCCTAGAAAATAGATGGAAAATAGATGTATGATAGGATGTGGCATCCATAGCCAGAGAAGAAGCAACACATGTTTTCTCCTGATTGTAGCCAACTAGACATAGAAAACATTCTGTGGAAACTCAAGAGCTCTCTTTTGCTCAGGTAAAGTCACTAGAAAAGAATTTTCCCCTCTGCATTGAAAATCAAAATGATGCTGGATGTTTGCTAGGTGATATCCTAGAACAATATTGTGATCAAACCCTATGGTTTGATTCCTCAGATGACATTCTTACCCCTCTCACAGAGATCATGCATGGTGCTGACACTAACCTTCATATTGACAATACTTGTCAAATCACCATATGTTCTGAACAGCCCACAGGTCATGCCTGTGCAACTTGGGATAGTTGACTCTCTGTTTTAAACTGCCAGGCATTAATGATTACATTAGGAGAGACCAAAAGTCTGGATGGACTTGGTTAGATGATAGTATCAAGCCATATAATTGTGAAAACCAGACAAAGGCCCTTTATATCAAACATTCCATAACCTGTTCTGTTCCTACAAATTGACAGGGACAGCTGGGCACGGTGGCTTACGCTGTAATCCCAGCACTTCGATGCTGAGGCAGGTGGATTTTCTGAGCTCATAGGTTCGAGACCAGCCTGAACCAGAGAGAGACCTTATCTCTAAAAATAGTCGAGTGTTGGAGGCCCCCGTAACCTTGTCAGTAGTGTGCCGGCCACATACATCCAGACTGTCAAGTTCAAACCGGCCAGGGCCTGCTGAAACAATACTGACAACTGCAACAACAACAAAAATACCCAGGTGTGTGGTGGGTGCCTGCAGTTCCAGCTACTTGGGAAGCTGAGGCAAGAGAATCGCTTAAGACCAAGAGCTTGAGGTTGCTGCAAGCTAAGATACCAGGGCAACAAGTTGAGACTCTGTCTAAAAAGAAAAAAAGAAGAAGAAGAAATAAATAAATAAATAAATACAAATAGTAAGGTGTTGTGGTGGGCACCTGTAGTCCCAGGCCCTTGGGAGGCTGAGGCAAGACAATCATTTAAGCCCAGGAGTTTGAGGTTGCTGTGAGCTTTGATGCCATGGAACTGTACCAAGGGTGACAAAGTGAGACTCTGTCTCAAGAAAAAAAAAAAAAATTGACAGGGACACATGAAAACTGGATATGTGAAAGTGCCAGTGAGAAGGAGAAGACACAGCAAATTCCACGATGGAAAGTCACAGGGTTTAACCTGACTCTGTCTATAAATACCACTGGTGTTTTTATCTTGGGTAGTAATAACATATATGAAGGGTTTCTACCCAGACAGGACACTGTAGACTTAGTTACCTGACATCCTCTGTTAGCAAGTACTCCACTGCAATGCCAGTCAAATTACAAACTTGGCTTCTTTTGTTCATAAGGTGGTACCTTATAAACATACAAAATCAAAATGTGACATTTAAGAAATCCACTTGTATATGTAGGGATCATGGCTAACTGCCTTTTTCCTTTGGTTGTTTCATTGAAAGTTTAACTCACAATTGGGGTAGGTTTTCTTTTATTTTTTATTTTTCTGTGATTTTACAATTGTGCTAGATTAATGAGAGAAAGGTTGGGCAGCGCCCATAGCTCAGTGGATATGGCGCCAGCCACATACACTGAGGCTGGTGGGTTCAAAGCCAGCCTGGGCCAGCTAAAACAATAATGGCACAAGAAAAAAAAAAAAGCTGGGTGTTGTGGCGAATGCCTGTAGTCCCAGCTACTTGGGAGGCTGAGGCAAGAGAATTGCTTAAGACCAGGAGTTTGAGATTGCTGTGAGCTGTGATGCCGTATCACTGTACCAAGAGTGACAAAGTGTGACTGTCTCAAAAAACAAACAAAAAAATCAACATTGGACACTTGGGCAGTGCCTGTGGCTCAAAGGAGTAGGGCGCCAGCCCCATATGCTGGAGGTGGCATGTTCAAACCCAGCCCCAGCCAAATAATTGCCAAAAAAAAAAAAATTGGACACTAATTAAAATAATCTTAAAAGGTTATCTGATATTATAAATGGATATATAAAATGTAATAGGCCTTACAAATGTTCACTACTCCTGTCCTTGAGCTGCTTTTTCCAGATAGTACACATTAACTAAATGGCTATGAAGGTGCTTTCTGAAATCTTTCTCCTGTCTCAAAGAACGATCTTAGAAGATACAAACAAAATCTACCTGCAATGCTTCCACTGCCAAGGCTTCCTTTGCATTTTTTCTACTACTTTCTTGTGGAGCTGGCCGAGCCCCATGCAATCCTGAATCGTCACTACCCTCTGACCTGTTGTTACTTAGCTTGCTTCCATCATGACTGTGTGTGCCTTCATCTTCATCAATTTTCTGAGACTCATTTACTGCTCTGGCAATAGGAGGTGATGTCAGAGTAGTTTTGGACACTGCTTAACTTTCTTCCATTGGCGGGGCAGGGAGTAACAGTGAAAACTGGGTCTTTAACTGCTGAGTCTTTGTCAGGGACATTCTCTGTTGTGTTCTGATCAGTGTCTATTTCCATTTCACAAGGAATACTGTCAGTCTGATAT